GTCCCACATTAAAAAATCCGGGGGGCCGGTTGCGTTTGAGTCTTTCGTTTATGTTTCGTTCTCGACGCGCGGGGTGGAGGTTTTTCTCTTTATTTATTGCGCATCTGGGCGCGCCCCTTATCGACCCGTCCTCCAATACTCCATCGCGGAGAAATCGTGCGCGGGAGAGCCCGCCGCCGAGGAGGAGGAGTGATGCTGCTGATGCGGCGCGGGCGGGTTCATGGCGAACGTCGACGTCGAGAGCGGCGTCAGCACCGGCGCGAGCGACGACGACGACCCCGACCCCGAGCCGGATCCGGATCCCCTCCCGTCCCGCGCCGCCCGGTTATCGGCGTACGGCTCGTGCGGAGGAGGATGAGGAGGGTGAGGAGGAGGGTGACCGTACGCGGGCGCGTCGGAGGACGAAGAGGACGGGGAGGGGTAAAACGTCCGGGTCGTGCCCGCGCCGGCTGTGCGATCCTGTGCCTGTTGCGGTTGCGGTTGAGGGTGCGGGTGCGAGGCGGGCGGGATCTGCGGGGAGGAGTGGCTGGGGTAGAACGGGGAGCTGAGGGTGGGGAAGAAGCTCGTGGGCGAGCCGCCGGCGGTCGAAGTAGTCGAGGTCGAGGTGGTCACGTCCGGCCAGGAGCGCGTCGTCGACGCGTACGCCGCGAACGAGGCTTGTTGATGCTGTTGCTGATTGTGCTGCTGCTGTTGCTGTTGTTGTTGGGTGTGCGTGTGCGTGTGCGAGGCGGAGGAGCCAGTGCTCGACCCGGCGGAGGAGGAGCGGTCGTACCGCACGCCGATGTTGAGATCGACGGCCGCCCCACTCGCCGTCGCCCCACCCGTCACCGCTGCCGATGTCGGTGTCGGCGTCGGCGTCCAGCTCGTCGGCCGCGAAGCGGACGCCTCGGTCAACGTGACCTGGTTCGGCGCCGACGCGGTATACCACGACCCTCCTGTCGTCGTCGCGTCGTGCGAGGACGGCGTGTGGCTCCTCGCCCCCGCGTACCCCTGCCGGAGCGCGTACGGCATGTCGGGCGAGCGGCGCGGGAGCGGGTACGGGTCGCGCCCGGCGTGCGTGTACGACGACGACGCGGGCGGGTAGCCGTAGAGCGCGGGCTGCCCCGCGTTCGTGTTCGTGCGCGTCGGCATGAGCGAGCCGGGGGAGGGGGGGTACTTGCCCTCCGCGCCGCCTCCTCCTCCTCCTCCTAGCATGTGGTGGTGGTGGTGGTGGTAGGAGGGAAAGCCGGCGGCGAGGAGCGGGTCAAAGTCGGCGCTGGAGTCGGCGGTGAGCGGCAGGTCGTCCGGCGGCGCGCCGTCGGGCGAGAGCGCGTGCGCGTCCGCGGGGTCGTCGACGGGCGAGCCCGTGCCGCCGCCCGCGAGCGAGGCGCGCCGCTTCTTGCGCGAGTTGTTCGGCCGGCGGCGGTAGACGTAGTCCGGGTAGCGGTTGTTGAACACGTCTTTGAGCTTCTTCGCTTGGTCTTGGTAGAACTGTTTCTCGATCTTTTTTTTTGCGCCGTTCCAAAAAACCGTTCCAAAAAAGTTAACAGAAAAAAAGAAATCAATAAAATTCAGACGGATAGGCGGAAGGGAGGGAGAAGAGGGGGGGAGGGGGGAAAAGGGTGGACGAGGATCACACACTCACGGTGCTCATCGCGTTCCACTCCTTGCTGAGGATCTTGCTGATCTCGCCCGTGCGCATGGACACGTTCGCGGCCGAGACCTCGGGGCGGCGCTTGCGGGCGAAGATCATGAACGCGTTCATGGGCCGCTTCGGCGTGCCGTCCGCGTTGAGCGTCTGCTGCATCAGCGGCGTCAGACCGCCCTCTGCTTTATAATATATGAATATACGGCATATCCGGCGCATCTCGCATGAAGCCCCCTCCGTTTGTACCCCCGCACCGGGTGAGGGGGGGGGGGGGGAAAAGGGGGA